AGTTGGGGAGTGTTACTAAGATGACAATTAGTTAACATCTTGACATTGGTTATAGTAATAGCTATTTCTTCCTCTATGATTATATTGGGGAGTGTTGCTAAGATGACAATTAGTTAACATCTTGATATTAATCATAGTAGGATTCATATATTTTAATATTCTTCCTTGAGTATTAATTAATTCCTATTCATATTTCATGTTAATATCTTAAACATTACTTAAAGTATCAACTAGTATTGTTTCTCATATTAATTATTACTAGAATCAATCGGTTAATACGCTTGTTATTAATCCGGTTCTTTCAACGGTAGTAAACTTGGAATATTAATGCATGCATCTCATGGTTAATATGTCAAGGGGAATTAATTATATTGATTAAACCAATAAACCGCTTGTGTTGAGGTTATCAATCTCAATCGTTTTCATCTTAAGTTTATTGCTACTATCAAGTTAATATACGGCGCTTGTTCTATATTGACTCGATAGTAAGTTTTATTAATGAACGCATCTCGTTATTAATAACTACCCTCGATGAACTGGATATACTCCTCGATTGAGTATTCGAGAGGAAGATAGTTAAAGATATAACTGGGATCGACGAACATTTCATTAAGTGGATAAAAGCAAAACCAAGTCTTCATCTCATTGAATTAAACTCATATAGGTTGTTTATCTTAGTGTTGTTAAAACAAACAAATCTAAACCCCCCTTTTGTTACTATTTATATAAAAGAAAAGTATTCCTTTCCCTGTGGATACGAACCTTACTACACTATACTACGTATTAGTGTTATATTGATTATTTATTTTGAGTGCACCTAACGACGAGTGCACGTCAAAGTGGTTCATGTGTTTGAATTCCGTTATCACAAGAGAGTCACGCCGTTAAAAACGTCTGAAAAAGACCGTTAAAAACAACTTTGATTTTCAAAAGTGCAGCTCAATAAGACAACCGCTAGGCCATCTTTCTTTTTTGTTTTCAGCTCCCTTGTCACCGGAAAGTTCATCGGAAAAGTGATATTAGCGAAATCATTTTTTAAAAATAAGTCAAACAGATCTGAAAAATCCAATGGCGAAGGTGGTTTGGAGGTCATGTTGACGAGGCGCACCTTGCGGTACTTTTCTTTTAATTTTTCAGGCACTTTTGAAAATCGGAGTTACTTTTAACGGTCTTTTTCAGACGTTTTTAACGACATGACCTTCTTGTGATAATGGAATTCAACCACATGAACTTCTTTGATAAAGATTGAAACACATGACCCTATCTGAAAACGGGTCCAACCACAAGTACCTTTTCAGTACTTTTCCCTAAAATCAATTATCCGGTTATCCTCTTAAAATAATTACAATTACTCGCATCAAGTATAATGCTTAATTAGGTAAGATGGGGACACATTATGTCATATTGTTATAATTACTATTAAAATAGTTATAAATTAAATAATTATTATAAATGATCCTAAGGCCACATATAAAATGAAAAATATTCCAACATACTCGTATAAAACTTACCAAATCAAAGTAGAGTGTAGTTCATACCACACTTAAATGTACCTGATCAAATTAGACTAGTTCATACTTCATACCACACTAAAACTTACTGATATAAACCATACTTTAACAGACCAAAGCTATTTGACGTGAAAATTCTAGTTCAAATGAACCGGTAGGCGTAGCTCAACTGGTAGCAAGGGAGTGTCACAAGGGTTAGGTCCCGGGTTCAAATCCCGGCAACTGCGATGAGGGGTTACTATGCTAAAAATGCATAGGGCCTCTGCAAGTACCGGGGATAGAGCATCACTCTCTATCTGTCAGATTGAGATTATAGTCCAATTTACATTCTCCCAACGTACCGTCTGGTCGGGGTTAAGGGACCCTCAGGGATGAGGTGTCATCCTTTTTTTTTCTAGTTCAAATGAAATTCTATAGGCAGGCAATCATTATTAAGGGTTGCCTAATTTATGCATGCCATAAATGAATGTAACAAAAAATGTAGCGGTAAAAATTGCATTTAGCTTTACTCTTAGATAAACATTGAAGAATAGGACATGACCTGCACAGTTTTTTAAAAATTCAAAGTTAATCCCACTTTCCCAAATCATAAGAGCTGTAATTTTTTCAATGACCCCATCAAAATTAAATTAGTGGTGTCATAGTAATATTTATAGAATAAAAAATAAAAAATCATTAAGGTCTCAAAATTGAACATGAATGTTATAAAATTTGATATACATACTAAGAGTCTAAGAGATAGTCTAAAACAAATTAACAAAGAGATTTATAGTAAAAGCTCTCCACTCTCCAGGACTGCATCACGTGAAACATGCATGTCATGTACAAACAATTCTATGTTCTATCATTATGAAGACAAAATTATGGAGGTATGATATAAGATACGTAGTATATTGGAACTGCAAATCTGTTAATTCATCTGCCATTCGCATGTATTAGCTCAAGTCATTTCACAAACAGATACATATATTATCCTCCATTCTTTTTAATGAGTAATAACATGTGTTAGAATTTTACATTATATTATCCACTTTGAGAATATTTCATTTTTCTTAAAAATATTGAGTAACATGGGTTAGAATTTTTTATTCACATAAATTCAACGAGATTTTTTTTTGAAAAATATTGTTGAATTTGTTCTTTACAAATTTTCAAATTTGATTTTTTAAACTTTTTTAGTAAGAGAAAATCAAACCTATTGATGACCACATGTTTAAAGTTGTGCGTTGGGAAATACTCTATCCGTCCCGAAATTAACTTCCCACTTACCTTTTAGGACAATCCTGAAATTAACTTCATACTTCTTCTCACTTCCTTATTTAGCAATTTTTTTTAAAACTAATTGAAATGAATTCACATTGTAGGTTGGAATAAGAAACGATAGAATGCAAATAAAATGTACAATGTACAAAACGGTACCTATCTAATTAACTATAAAAAAATACAGTAATATTTGAGCAGTAAGAAAATTGGGCATTATGTTGACATAGCAATACCTGCTGGCCCATCGAGCCGCAGCAGCAAAAAGCTGAGATAGAGGAGCAACCACCAGAGCAGCTATGGATCAGAGGCAGTAAATACAATATAAAAAAGCAGGCTTACACTATATTGTGTGTAAAAAGAGAGGCGGTTTCTCCGGCAACTTGTTTCCTCAGATTCTATTGCAGCAAACCTCAGTCAGATATATGCAGCGTTTTTTGGGTTATTCACCGACCGAAGCATTTATTTATAGGCAAATTCTCTAATAGCTCATGTCCGGTGGTGGACCCAGAGATTAATGAGCGGGGCAAACTAGACACTACACTTAATTTATACTCCCTCCGTTTCTGAAACAAGTTCCACATTTGACTTCACACATATCAAGAAAATAAATTTGACTTTACTGTGGAGTGCACTGTTTGGCACTGTTTGAACACTGTTTGGCACTGTTTGACACTGTTTTGATGTAGATAATTTGCCAAATAAGGAAATGTTTGAAAGTGGAACTTAATTTTGAATCTGCCTGAAAAGGAAAGGTGGAACTTGTTTTAGAAACGGAGGGAGTAATAAACACTTTGGACCCAAAGTGGGGGCATTGATTTTTATCTTAAGTGTTACTAATGAATTTTCGGACCCGAAGTGGGGCACGTGCCCCACCTAACTCCCCTTAGGTCCTCCACTGCTCATGTCCTTAATCATACGAATCAATTAGAATATTACAATTATATATAAATATAAATAAATGATGAAATAATGATTCAGATCTATAAAAATGAATTATAGGTAGAGTGGCCTCGCTTTTTTATGTGACATAGCAATTACTTTATTTTTATACATATATTCATCACGAGGGAATGACAAAAATACGAGAATTTTGTGTTTGACGTGCAAAAACACGGGAGTTTGTGTTTTGGGTACTAAAACACGGTATTCAGAACATGCTATTCTAAATGAAATAGGGTTTTGAAAAAAAATCCAGTTCATATAACTTTTTTTGGAATTCCTGCACAAACCCAATTCATTCGGTAAGGAGTCTTTCGACTACTGCTATCCTAGAAACCCTAGAATTACTCCCATTTTTTCGCTATCCTAGGGTTTCTCGTATTCTTAGAAAACACCCTTCTTTATATTCCTCTTTATATTAATTAACGATAAGTGCAAGAAAAATAAACTTTAATTTTTTACAAAGTAGGACATGTGATTTCTCAATTTGAGGGTTTTTGTCTAAACTCCACAGGGTGACATGTCACTTTTTCATAGTACATCCAAGTGGCCTTCTTTCTGATGCAATTTAGACTGAAACTCTCGAATTGAAAGCACATGTCCAATCTTGTGAATAATGACGGGGTAATTTGAGTTTGCATCCCATTTTATTGTTCAAATTGGACTTTATATCTCGTTTTTAAAAATCTGTTTTTGCACTTCCAACCCCATATGAAAAGACAAAAATGCCCGAGTAGATGTAGGAGTATTTTTGTCTTTTCATATGGAATTGGGATGCAAAAACACAATTTTTTAAAAATGTGGTGCAAAGTCGAATTTGCACATTAAAATGGGATGCAAATTCAAATTACTTCAAAAATGAATCAAAATCAAAATGAACAATTTAAATAGCAGTGCCGTCGGCCGTGCATGTAATTTAGAAATGGATATGTAGATCCGCACGGGTAGCTCAGTTGGTCGAGTGGTGGGAGATTTGGAACAATGGACCAAGGTTCGAATCCCCGCAGCTACCGAGTGGAGGTCACAGAACCTGAAATAAGGCTGGGCCTCTGGTGCGCACGGGTGTATGGGCCTACTGCCATTCTGCTGACTGAGTCACCGTAACTAACCTCCCCACCATCCTGTCGGGTCGGGGTGGGGAGCTCCTGGGGTGGGAGATTCCACCTTTATTGGAACAATAGAAATGGATATGTAGTACGGAGTAACGCGGAGTAGATGATATGCGTGTGACATGAATCAAATACTCCATAGATAAGTACTTCGTAAAAAATAAGTTCAAGAAGATCATAGAAGAAAAAATGGAAAATTGACATCCATTAATATGATGAAATTAAACAAATTTTACTGTATATTGAGTGGTATTATATAATTATAATACCGAGTAATAATTATACTGCTTCAATTTATACACGAATTTATATAATTGTAATAATTATAATAATATTTGTAATAATAAAGGAAATGTCACAAATATAATTATCATCAGGTCGATGAGATATCCAAATCTAGGGACATGGAGGCCGAGGACGGCGACTTGTGGGGCTTATTATTATCATCAGTTTGCAGTTCTTGAGTGTCATCGCCGTCGTAGCTGCCTCCGCAAGGCCATAATTGAAGGGAAGTTGCAGGAACTGTGGTTGTTGATGTGGTGTTGGAATTGGGGGAAGTGGCGGCGGAGGAAGAGTCGTCCGAAATAGGGCAGTCCATGTTCACTCCGAACAGCCTCAGCCGCTTTGCTGCCGCCTTTCCTTGGACCACCGGCACCGACTCAAACACCACCCCATCACCACCACAACCTCCTATTCTTTGCATCATTTCTTGTTGGTTCGCGGCGGTGATTATTGGCCTAAAATAAATCCCTGATGATGATACTCCCGAGCAAGGGTTTTCATTCACCACCACATCACCGCCGATCGGACCGCTAACTCCGCTGGATATCAAAGAATCGTGGGCGGTGGTGCTGTTCCCGCGGAATCCATAACTGGTGCAGCCGTACGACGGTTGCAGCGGGGTGAACAAAGCGCGAGCGTTCCAAGCCGCCGCTGCTGCAGCGGCAGCGGGGTAGTGGTGTTGATTATGAATGGCAGAGCGCTGGAGGGGGGATAGGTGGTGTGGGAAGGACACCATCGGGGTGAGATGATGGTGGCGGTGATGATGAAGGTTGTTGGAGGAGTACCGATAATCAAGACGGCGCCTCCAGTTGATGAAAAGCCGATTTTTGACGGACTCGGAGGCGCCGCGCTGGAAAGAAACGACGTCGCCCGCGTCGAGCTTCTTCTCCTTGACGAACCGGCTCCAGCCTTTCGTCATCACATAGCTTTGGCTGCTGTTCCAATAAGAGTACCGGAACCGCCACGGCTTGCCGTTCCGATCCTCGAAGTTGAGCAGAAGCCCCTTATCGTTGCTGGAGGAGTCTAGCGGGAAATACTTCTCGGCGTGCTGCTTGGGAATCACCAGCCTATTCAGCTTCCCGACATCGCTCGGCGTCACCACCTTATCAAACATGTGTTCCTTCTCGATCGCCACCCCGCCCCCGCCGCTACTACCCTCAACACCCGCCGTGTCATTCACTTCACTAGCATCATCACATGTCGAAGAATCGATAACCATCTTCATAATTACCTCTTCCCTATCCCCTCCTCCTCTTCCTCGACCTCCTAACCAAACGCCGCCGTAGGAAAAAGAAGATGATGGTCGAGAAAATGGATGCATACCTATGTAGCTAGCTCGATCTTAGCTAGTTCAGAAATTGAAGAATTGAAGATGAAACTAAATTAAGTGATCATCACTTGCCAGCCAATCAATCTAGCATAGCATGCTGCTAGATCTACAGATTAAAGTGGCGCATATATAATTTTCCTTAGCTAGGGTTTAGAGCACAAAAAGAGAGTTGGGAATTTTTCTGGTTTTCGATGAATTGGGATCTGAAAGGTAATTAAGCATAAAGGTATATAGCAGTGATGAGTTGCGGATGGAAGCTAAATAATGAATAAAGCTGAGCTATTATTATACTCCGTATTCTAATAATAATAAACTAAAACGTGCACGTGTAACTCAGTTGGTCGAGTGGTGAGACATTTGAATCAATAGAGCAAGGTTCGAATCCCCGCAGCCATCCAGTGAAAGTCACAGAACCTTAAATAAGGCTGGACCTCTAATGCGCACGAGTGTATGAACTTACTGCCATTTTACTGACTGAGTCACCGTGACTAACCTCCCCACCATCCTGTCGGGTCGGGGTGAGGTCTCTTGGGTGGGAGATTCCACCTTTTTGGATCAATATTAAACTGAAATGTACGTACGAGAAAGGTAACTATAATGCAGGTTTGGTTCATAAGTTTCATTTCCTTTTTCTTTTTCGGTACACTCCAAAAAAATGAAAGAAAACACGTTTTACTTCTCCCTATAAGTACTTCCTCCATCTCTAATTGTTGACCTTAATCTATCCCTCGTAGTGCGATGTTCTTAAGTTGGGTAATTTGTATTGAATTTTGTATTTATATATATATTCTTCCTTTGATTAATAACACAATGATACGAAATGGCACGGCATGGGTCACCTTCAACTCTTTGGCATGACCTAGTAGTATAGGGTGGGTGTGGTACCTGAGGGTGGGCCCACGAATTATCTGGTGGGCTCATGCATGTGAACTCTCAGCAGCTTAATATATCTATGATGAATACTTGCATTCATGTATACATATATACATGGTTCTCATTATTAGCTGGTTTATGTGTGATAGTGGTGACATGTCATAAACTTTATTACAGTATATCGGATGATAGATATCCCTATGTGATTATATAGTAAAAAAAAGGATGACACCCATCCCCCAATCTCGACCGGACGGTACGTTGCGAGGATGTAAATTTGACTATAATCTCAATCTGACAGATAGAGAGTGAGGCTCTGTCCCCGGTACTTGCAGAAGCCCTATGCATTTTCAATCACTAAAATTTAAAGTACATTTTCAACTAGTTGTGCCAAACATACCCGTACATCTGAAATGTCTTTATATGATCAAATACATCGCAAGGGGGTCATGGTGCTAAAAAGCAAAGTAGTGTTCAAGGAATTTTAAAAAGTTACTTGAAATTACAATGGATTACAAGTAAATACTACACTTGGTACAATTAAGTAATTAAGTTGAAGCAATAGTAATTAAGTTAAAAAGTTATTAAACTTGTACCACTCATTGACAAATATAATTAATTCAGCTAGAATGGAGTGGTATTTGGTTTCTTTTCTGCCGTGTGGTCCAAACCAGGCCAGCTGTTTTAAAGCACAAGCCTCTCTATTTCCATTGGTTTCAATTTTAATTTACCGGACTTCATTCTTACTATTGCCCCCTCCGTCTTATTAATGCATCACGTTTTATAAGAAATATTATAAGGATGTAAAGGTGAGATTGGTCCTCGAAATTACATAAAAAGGGTCAAATAAGTCCTTATATAAGAGATTCTGTCCGGTCATCGCCATTCGGGGTGATTCTCGGTGGAATTTTTTGATGAAATTTTTTGAGAATCTTATTCATTAAGTCTAGTTTACTCATATCAAATTTTAGCTAAAACTTCAATCGGGAAGGCATTCAAATGAAGTCCTGAAGATAACTGCGCAGTTAAACACGCAGTTACCTTCAAGAATTCATTTGAATGCCTTCCCGATTGAAGTTTTAGCTGAAATTTGGTATGAGTAAACTAGGCTTAATGAATAAGATGCTCAAAAAATTTCATCAAAAACTTCCACCACAAACCTCCCGAAATGGTGACGTCCGGACAGTAAGGACTTATTTGACACTTTTAATGCAATTTCGAGGACCAATCTGACCCTTATTTCATATTATAACTAAGGAATGAGACAAAATATGGTATATAAAGTTTAAAAATATGATCAATTAAATGTATTTTATTTCAAAATATGATATATATTTAGTCTAAATAAAATAATAAAACTGCTCAAAACAAGAGTGATGTCATATTCTGAGAACAAAATAACGACCAATGGAGTATTGTTATTCCATATGCATATATTTGTAGAGAAAAGTGAACGATGGGCTGAGAAAATGATATAAAACAGAACATTGATAATCCCCTCATTTATAGTTCAATTACGGGCCAAGCTATTATTTTGGATCTAGTACTTCCAATTAGATAAAAGGTTAATACTAAAGTCTAAATCCGTATTTGATGTTAAAGCCCAATAGTCATAAGGTTAAGGGTAATTCTAAGTATAGTCCATTTTTTGCTAAACACACCCAAATTAATTAATTTTCCAAACTTACCCTTAGACTTGGTGGCGGTCTAAACTCTGAGTAATACGGAGTACTTCCATTGTCTCCTAAGCTACTTCCTTATCCCCTTTCTCTTCATTGATACCTTCCTGCAAACATAGCATTTTTTCATCCGCACACAGCTCCCGCTCAATCGACCAGTTGCTAAATTAACCGTATAACGCTTTCCCTTATTCCAAACCTTACTTCAATCTTCTTCTTCATAGTTTATGAGCTGAAATTTGACTTCCAATTTGTTAGCAATAGGGAAAATAAGCACTCGTTTTTTCTTACTTCTTTTTCACTAGCTACAAAACTTGCAGGAAGATTTTTTTAATGGTGTGTAGCTCTTATGGCTGCATCACCTTTTATTAATATTTATATACACTTGATAAAATGGAAGCTACGAAATAGGAGGTTGATGCTACATATTAGCAACTAACCCCACTAAGAAGGTGCATACCCACACCTCTTATTTACCAACACAAAAAAACCTTAACTACCCCCTATTAATATTCTAGCTACTTTATTTTAGGAATTATTTATCTTATTCCTATGTAATAAACTAACATGCCTTGCAAGCATGTTTTACATAAAACAAATAAACAAGTTTAAATAAACTATCAATCACTCCCCTAAACTTGTTCACTTGGCATTCTTCATCCCAATCTTCTCCCTCATTTCATTGAACCTTTGTTTAGGAAGAGGTTTGGTAAGCATGTCCGCCAAATGATCCGCAGTCTTGACATAATCAATCCAAATGTCACCATTCTGAACACATTCTCGAATGAAGTGATATCTTGTATCGATATGCTTTGTCCTATCATGATAAACGGGGTTCTTTGCAAGAGCTATTGCTGATTTGTTGTACATAAAGGATTGTCTTTTCTTTGTTTTCTCCTTTCAAGTAGCTCAACATTCTTCCAAACCAAATGCCTTGGCATGCTCCTGCAGTGGAAGCTATGTACTCAGCTTCACATGAGGATAAGGCTACCACTTTCTGCTTTTGTGATGTCCAAGTGATAGGCTTCTCACCTAGGAAATACAAGACTCCAGATGTGCTCTTTCTGTCATCTATATCTCCTACCATATCACTATCACAATAGCCCACAAGATCCCTTTTGTCTTGTCCCCGTTTATAAATGCACCCAAATTCAAAGTACCCCTTACATACCTTAGAATTTGCTTGACTCCTGCCATATGTGCTTCAGTAGGAGCCTCCATGTACCAACTCATTACTCCCACAGAGTATGCTAGGTCTGGTCGTGTGTGTACTAGATATCTCAAGCTCCCAATTATGCTTCTGTAAAGAGTTTCATCAACAAGTGGATCCTCTTTTTCATGCTTACTCATTTTAGTCCTTGGCTCCATTGGAACTTGGCAGGGGTTGCACTCCCCCATTCCCAACTTCTCCGGTATGCTCCTTGCATAGAATGATTGACATAATGAGATTAAGTTTTCATCTTGTTTCACATCTATGCCTAGATAATAGCTTAGAGGTCCAAGATCACTCATTTCAAAAACGTGCTTCATTTTTTCTTTGAACTGGTTGATGCATCCATCGTTGGAACCTGTTAGAATAAGATCATCCACATATACTCCAAGTATCAGAATGTCTTCTTTTCTCTCCTTCTTATACACATCATGCTCATGGGGACACCTCATGAAACCTAGAGATTTTAAGCATTGATCTAGCTTGAAATTCCAGGCCCTAGGTGTTTGTTTTAACCCATATAAAGCCTTCTTCAGTTTTAGGACATTGTATGGGTGTTTTCTATCAAAAAAACCTTCTGGCTGTGATACATATACCTCCTCCTCAAGTTCCCCATTTAGGAACACGGTCTTCACATCCATGTGATGAACCTGCCATCATTTGAGCTGCATAGGCTAGTAACAACCTGACTGTTTCAACCCTTGCTACAGGTGCAAAAACTTCATTATAATCTACACCATGATTTTGTACATAACCCTTTACTACTAACCTTGCCTTGTGCTTGATGATCTCACCCTGTGGACTCTTCTTCAGTTTGTATACCCACTTCACCCCAATTGCCTTGTGATCTTTAGGTAACTCTGCCAGCTCCCAGGTTCCATTCTTCTTTATGGAACTGATTTCTTGCTTCATAGCTTGTCTCCATTCTCTAACCTGAGAGGCTTCTTTGTAGGTGGTTGGCTCTTCTAGTGAGAGGAAGCATAGTCCAACTTCCTCTTCCACCTGTCTGGTTGCATCATATATATCCTGCAGAGATCTGTACCTTCTAGGACTACTTAAGAATCTTGAGCTCTGGGACATTGATTGAGATGACTGAGCTGAGGTGAATGTTGAATGCAGCTTTGAGCTTCCATCACTTTCTTCACTGGTGAAGGTCACAATAAAGTTTCCTCCTTCATGATTTGGTTCCTCATTTTCTACCCAGCTCCAGCTCCTCCCTTCTTCAAATACTACATCTCTGCTTACTATTATCTTTCTTTCAGTTGGTTCTAAAAGTCTATATGCCTTTGAACCTTCTTCATACCCAAGTAGTACAGATATGGTACTCCTATCTACTAACTTGGGTGGATGTGGTGTGACAATCTTTGCATGAGCAATGCATCCAAACACCCTGAGATGATGTACCTTGGGAATTTTTCCTTGCCAAGCCTGGTATGGAGTCATTCCCTCCACTCCTTTAGATTGAGATCTGTTCAGGATGTATACTGA